CCCATTCGTGTGGAGCTCGGCTTCAAGGACATGGCTGCTGGCCAGGTGACGGCGGTCGTTCGGTACACAGGTGAAAAGGTAGGACAGTCCTCTCCAGATAATGATTCCCACTGTTCGTTCCCGAAGCGTGTGATTTGCATCTTTTTGCACACCTCGCGCGCGTATGTAGAACATTTTTATTCCTCCATCTTATGAACTTTCAACTGGGCTTACGACCATGTGGCCAAACAATTACGTAGGATTATTATACTGTTCTTCGTGAGTGAGTAGACACGGATGATTACTCCTTAAGTTAACTAGCAGTTGCTCGCTTGTCGCCTAAAAGCATGTAAAGGATTATTTTTTTAATATTTCTTTTTATCAATACATTTCCTAGGTTCTGTTTTACCAATAGGAGCCCAAAAGCGCTCGCCTATCATTCCCTTAATAAAATTGAACTCAAATGACATGTGCTTTCGGCTCGGCAACTTGCTTAAGTAGGTTTGTTATCTTGATTGTCGTACAGCGTTATCTCAAAATAATTCAGTTACGGCAGGATGTCGGCTCTTAAGCGAACGGAAAGTACATTCCCAACACTGTTTGTTTAAGTAGCATGTATTTAATCATGGACTTTTGCTGCCCTTATTATTTCAAATTCTTTTAGAAAGCATGTACAAATATATTCCTTCTTGTACTCATTTTACAACAATTTACGTCTTCTTCAAGTGTAGCACTTGAAGAAAAAGTATTTTGTGGGGTTTAAAATACGTTCTAAATTGCTGAAAAGCGTTGAACCCTATCAGCCGTTACACTTGTATTCAAGGTTTCCAAAATAAATGCTGTATGCATTGTGTCTAAGGAGAATCACGCTATTGTCGACGTTATTGGGAATAGATCAAATTGTGCTCAGAAAATCTTGTAATGGATGTGGATGCTGTCGTATACTTTAAAGCCAATATTTATAGATTAATGGATATAATGTCTTATCGATGAGCACTTCATGATCTATAAAATTCTCATAATTAGAACTCAACAAATCTAATCAGAACTTTTTAAAATTCGAAATGTACCCGTCCTGAGTAGTACTTTTCAAGTTGTAATCTACTACCATACGCGTACGGAGAAGAATATTTGTGTGCAGGCTTTCTGTAAAGTTTCAGTTTATTTGGTGAGGGTGGTGTGCAATGCCTACGTCGTACACATTTGCACAGGCACGTGTAAAATTTGTCACTATTAAAATGGTATTCACAAACAGTGAGTAGCATTGTTTTTACAAATAACTCTTGTCTGGAGTTTGAATGATGTCAGTTCGAGTTCATGCTGTCGCGGGACAGCAGGGGACCCACATAATTATCCAAACCTTGTTGTAACAGCGGTAAGGACGTGGCCTCCCACGAGTGTGTGCGGCATGGTATTTCCCTATTCAGCTTGCTGAAGGCAAACGCGGTGGACATTGGCCTCATATTCAAACCATATACTGGAACATAAATGTCCCATTTTTTCATATTTTCAAGTTAATTTACAATGCCCCCTCTGCTCCGCCTAGCTTGCCATCCCGGAACAGGGTCTAGCCGAACGTCTGACTGGTCTGCTCGACCAGATCCACTCACAGATGCTGGCGCACGCGACGGAGCAGCAACGGGCTCATG